TGGGGCAACACTTTCGATGCCAGTCGTGTGCCGCCACCGGTAACGGGACGTGACTTAACACCGCCCGCCGACGTCACGCTATATACGAATGGCTCGTCTCCGTTCGGGGTCCTACACGCTGTGGGGAATGTATGGCAATGGACTGATGAGTATGTGGACGACCACACCCGCTATGCTGTGCTCAGGGGTGGAAGTTATTACCATCCTCAGGGTAGTATGTGGTATTTCCCGTCCAATGAGACCCGGTATACGTTGGACTTGCATAACAAGTATTTATTAATGGCCCCCTCACTGGACAGGGCGGCAACACTGGGATTCAGGTGCGCCGCCGATTCCCAATGATTTAAATAGACTTATATTTAAAGTTTTATAACATTTTCATGTCAAATAAAATACCGGTACACATTTTAAATAGTATTCACATTTAAATAATGATATAAAAATGTGAAACAAATTAATTATTAGAGGGCTGTGTTGTCTAATAGTTAACATGTATTATGGAGACCCGGGTTCAATTCCTTGCCCTCCCTTTTAATACAATTTTTCTCTCCAATTAAAGATCAGTTAATAATTAAAATGAAATAAAAATAATTATTTAAAAAAATTATAAATGTTATCATAAACTAGTGTTTTTAAAATTCATTGAAATACAAAACAAAATACTCACAAACTGTAAGCAAAACGCTTTATAAAAGTTTGCAAAAAAAGTCAATCATTTTGTGATTTTTGAACACATTTTTACTCTTAATTGTGAATCAATTTGTGTTTTAATTGAATAATTGAATTAAATCTTACTTAAAATGTGTGACAATTTAGATATAAATTCAATTAGTAGTCAAATGAAGTCAAAACTGAATTTATTATCAAATCTAAAGGCTTTTGATAACAATTTGTGTGAAAGAGTCACTCAATTGAATGCAAACTATGTTTCACTAAATAGTCTTGAATTGAATGACAAATCAATTGAATTAATAAATTGTCGAAATTTGTTGAGAATTTATGGAAATAATAATCCATTAAATGGTGAACTTGAAGAGTATAGGGAGATACAGGGATGGGATGGAGCTATGGATGATAGTAGTGGTACATATACCAGACCCGAAGTACATGTGGTGTCAGAGGAGACACAAGAAGTGCAGACTTTGGACACAGAGGTCGACGACAGAGACAGAGATGAGATGAAAGGATCGGAAGAGATGTCTGAAGCAGAAGAGGGCGGAGAGAGTGGTGTCGGAGACCAACACAAAGACACTCCAGAAGTGACAGAAGGAGGCGATGGGAGGGAAGGCATTGATGATTGTGAACCCAATGAAGGCAATAGAGTCCTTAATTCAGGTGATCAACCATTTGTGTGTTTTTGGCCCAAATGTGGCAAACAATTCACTCGAAAATATAATCTTAAAGAACACAAGAGTTCCGTCCATTTGAAGCTCAAGAGATTCATATGCGATGTCGAGGGTTGTGGTCAACGGTTCGCTCATAAGGCACACCTCAATCAACACAAAATGATACATTCGGGAGAAAAACCATTCACATGCAATGAAATGGATTGTGGCAAATGTTTCGCACAGAAATCATGTTTAAATCAACATAAAAGTGCTGTTCATTTGAAAGAAAAGAGATTTAAATGCGATAATAAAGGATGCAAAAAAAGGTTTGCATCGAAAACCAATCTAATTGCTCATAAACGGGTCCACTCGGGAGAGAAACCGTTTGCCTGCGATGCATGGATTGCGACAAACGATTCACACGGAAATCATCGCTAATTGAACACAAAAATGCCGTTCATTTGAAACTCAAACCATTTGTTTGTAATGAAGTTAATTGCGGTCAAGAATTCTTCCAAAAATCACATCTCAATCGACACAAACGTATTCATATATAATGAAAGCGATTGTGAAAAAATGTTTACACGACAATCACGTCTGGATCATCATAAAAGCGTACATTTATTTTATTTATTTTATTCATTTTAGAGTTGTCGATAGACTTGTTGTAGAATTTCAGATTGTAATACAAATTTCTTATATTATAATTTCAATTGTATTTAAATGCCTTTTCTGTTAACAAACAAAATAAGAATTATTATTTTATAATTATATTAATTTTGTTTTTGTCAAATCTAAAATCAGTAATAATTTTCACGATAATTAATAAAACACTTTGTTTTGTGAAATACGAATAAATCTGATTTATTTGATGATCACATTTAAAGTCAATTACAAACAACGAGAATAGGAATTAAGATTAATAGTATCAATCAATTCTTTTCACACATTTCTCATACATTTATACAAAAAAACACAATTTAAAGTATATATCCGAAACCAAATGACATCCCTGTCCTAACAGCCGGGCACTAACTGTTTCTCCTTACAGATGGTGTCCTTCTCGTCAAACACGAGAACCCCATCGCAGGCCTTCTTTTCGTCGCTATATATTCCGGGAAACATTTCGGTGCACTTATGGTAATAGTGACAGTCCTTGGGGTCCCGAACCAGCCCCTCCTTTGTGCATATGGTTCCGGGGGCTGGTGTGGGCTGAGTGGGGGCAGAGGTAGTGCCGTTAACCTGTCTAAATTAAACAGGATTTAAATGTCACATCGAGGTTAGGAACATGATCTAACCTAATAACCAACTTACATAACATCATTTATATCCTACATAAATACGGACAGAGTTTAATATACTGTAGTGAGCGTTGAATCAATTAATAAACTCATAAAATCCTTGAATGAAAGTTTCGATAAGAAATCGATAAATTAATAGTAACCATTGCGACCCTACATTGCAATTAACTTAAACTCTACAAAACTGATAGTTTGTGACACAAACTTTGTGTATTTGTTTACCAGTATTTTGATTATAAACGTGGCATTAAAATGATGTTACTATTCATTTTGGCTCATTTAATTTTAGGTATACAAGTAAATCACTGGTTTAATACGTGATTGCAAAACAATACTATCATTTAATTCATAATAATACTTTTTTTTAACAAACATAAGCCAGTGTTTTATTATTAATAAAGTTTAATGTTTTTTAAAAGAATTTAATTGTTCATTCAATTAATTTAATTTAATTTCAATTATAGCGCATTTGATAGGCAGCGAGCCGTGCAAAGTGGTCGTCAGCTTTGAAGTAATAGAGGGCCCGAACACAACACAAGAGTTTGACTGTTGGCTTAAAGCCATGCATGAGTTTCGACAAAGTGAACGGACCAGGATCAATTACACCGATGCTAATTATAAACTGGCTGAGTTACAGTGGGCACAGAGCAGTGTACTACAGCCGCAAATGATGGCTCACGACCGAGACTTTTATGATTACACTACACATGAATATACTGTCGATAAATATGCTAATCGTCTGAAACAACGATACGGTGGCATCGATTCGGTGTTGATTTGGCCGAATTACCCCAATATAGGTATTGACAACCGGAATATGGACGATATGATCAGAGATATGCCCCATGGAATCGATGGACTTAAGAAAATGGTT